GTCAGTGCTCTCCCCATCCTACTTTCTCCACCAGCAGGCTCCACAGCCTACCACACACCCCTCAGGTCTCCACCCCAGTTTCCAAGATTCCTACAGTCGCACCCCAACTTTCTCTGGACATATAGTCACTCCCTATCACCAATACATTATGAAACTGCTCACTAAATCCCTCACAAGCCTCCCCTGCTCTGAATGAACTCTTTTTTCTTTTCTTTTTTTCTTTTCTTTCCTTCCCTTCCCTTTCCTTCCCTTTTCTTTCCTTCCTCCCCCCCCCTTTTTTTTTTTTTAAACACTCAGAATAAAAGGAAAAAGTCTTGGCTTCCTTGCCTTAAGGAGTTGGCAGAGCCCAGAGGAAAGGGAGAATGACCAGACCCCTCCCCAGCTCCAGCTACAATCACATGCCTACTCATCTGAACCAGACCATTCCACAATATTCTGGTCCTCTCACTCCAAGTCTCTTGCACCCTGAGATTCACACCCTCCCCAAGCACACTCATGCTTTCATCTCTGATCAAAGGCTCACTTGAGCTTTGTCCCACATTGTGCTCTTCTAATCTGGAATTTACACCTCTCACATCTTTGTCACAAGTTCTCCCTATAGTCTCTCATACACCACTTTGCTCATATGCACACTCTTGTACTCCTACTTCTTACACACTTGGACACCTCTCAAGCAGTACTGCGCCCACTCCTGTGCCCCATGCACCCCTTTCTCATTTGCCCCGCTTTATACCCCCACTTACTTGCTCTGGGCCTCCCAATCTCCCACAGCCTTGCTGACACATGCTGAGTAACACTAAGTGGCCAGCAGTGTAAGCCTCAGTGTGCATGCAGGGGTCTGTGGTGGGCCCATTTCCAGGCCTCGGGCAGAAAGGCACCAAGGCAAGGGCCCCAGGACCTACTGAGCCCACTTAAGTTAGGAACAGAAGCTCTTCACTGGGAGTCCTGTGGACTGGGAGTTCAGCTAAAGTTCCTCCAGAAAACTGTGCTCCTGGGGGTAGCAAGGCTGGAGGGGCACAGGAGCACAGAGGCAAAACCTATATCATGGTTTTCCAACTTACATTTTTAAAATATTCCTACAAGAACATGAATTTCTACTCTTTGAGGCAAATTATGGCCAAATTGCCATCTTACCAATATTTGTGACTTAAAACATCAGATTTTGCTGGTGTTTCTTTTCTCTTTTTTTCCTTAAAAAAATCAAACAGTGATTTTCCAGTCTAAGAGCATGGAAACTTAAAAGCAAAAAGAAAATTTTGTTTTGCTTTCTGTTATACACAGAACACCATTCCCAAGGACAAGGATGGGAGAGCAAACTGCATAAATGAAACTCTAGTCACACACACACACTACATTCTCATATGGTTACTCCATCACACACATGTGCAATGTTCACACACATAGCCTGTCACCTACTCAGAAGTGAGCCCAGTCACACACATGGGCCATGACCTGCTGAGTCACACCTTCCCTGAACAAGACTTTGTGATTTTGTTACCTCTTCTCTAAAATAGTGGTTATCATCCTTGCCCTTCTCTTGAAGGTTTCTCTTGAGAAACTCGGGGGGAAGTGATTGATAAACTGTGAAGTGTGACCACAGATAACATCCATGGCACTTCCCCATGGGTTTGCAGAGACAGCAACTGAGACCCAGCCACACACACACACACACACACACACACACACACACACACACA